ATCTGAATTTACGTGTGTTTAACAGATGGTATGAACGATTACGAGCATTTATCCAATGATGAAGTGTACAGTTTGTTGAAAAGTGTGGATCCGAGATCGGCAATGCAAGTTAGCTCCTTTCATTTTTCGCCTTTTACTTGTATGTAGCTTTCTTTTTTTGGCGTTTCAAGCTCTGCTCACAATTTTCTTAGGTCCACAAGAATAATCGCTTTCGAGTGGTCCGAGCCTTACAAATCTATAATGCAACGGGAAGGTGTAAAAGCGATTTTTTGACGGAGCAGCGCCAGTCAGTGAGCAGCCGACTGCGATATCCCAATTTGTTGCTGTTCTTTTTGGATGCCGAAAAGAAAATCTTGGAAGAGCGGTTGGATCAGCGGGTCTCGAAAATGATCGAAAAAGGACTGAGGAAGGAAGTGGAGCATTTCTATGCGCAGGTTAGCTTCTCCCTCGTATAATCAGCCATCGCTGTAGATCTTCTGAATCCAGTCACCAATGAGCACAGAACTTTTTCGTATGAAATTTGGACAAAACGGCATGAACTTGTTTTAATTTTCAAAGTGCAGCACACTTAGGTGAAAGGCCTTGTCGTATTTCTGCATTAATTTTATCTAAGTATGGCTTTTTGAACGATTTATAGCGTAATTTGGCGAGTTTTTAGCTTTTTTTTTTCCTAAATGAAGTTTTTGGCGTTCTTTCCTTTGACGCGTAGTTGGTTGACCGTCGTTTGCTCCTTGTGCGACAGAGCATGGAGCCTATCATTGCTGTGGAGCGTTTTCAAAGTCCAATCTCGAATTTTGATGAGTGTGTGTTGCTTGTTGCAGTATTGCCATTGTCTGAGTGTGCACGGTGTTGCTCAGTCGATTGCTGTGAAAGAATTTCACGATTATCTTCGGTTAAACCCATCCGATCGCTACAGTGATCTAGGTGATGAGCTGTTCAACAACGGCTGTGAAGCCCTAAAATTACATACGCGGCAGTATTCGCGTAGACAGCGTCGATGGGTGAAACAACATCTGCTTGGTGGAAATGCGCCGTCACAGGTGATCACCTTCTTGAAATATACTCATTGTTTTGCTGCCCCTCAGTAACATCCACAACTTTGGATCCGGTTCTTTTTTAGTACTTTTCGGATTTGAAAATTCACCGAAAACCGTACGAGATAGCATACATTTTCCCACAGTTACAGCATCTACTTTTGCAGTGCTATCGGTCAGTATGTACTAAAATAAGCATGCATTTCCCCTTTCCGTCCTATTGTGGAAGCAGAAATTAATTTCACTATGAACATGTTGTGCTCTTTGGACATCCATAATTGTCTTTGTGCTTCTTAGAGGACCATGCATTTCCCAGATCGAAATTTGCTGCGTTTTGTTAAA